TGACATTTACGTATGTTGTTTATTTCAAGTTTATATTATGAAACAGGCGCAGTTACCAGGAATATAGAGGAATCAGCTGCTAATATAACGAAGAAATAAAATAAAAGATGTTAAGGGACGCTATCTATTTAAATAAAATGATGGGTCGAAATTCAACTTAATCAAAATATATTTTGAAATTAAATGCTTTTCAAAAGTATTTTTGAAATGTTCAAGTATTCTTAGAAATTATAGCTACTTATACATATTTTTGAAAATTAATTTTTTACTTGGTAGATATCTACTTACATACCTAGAAGTTAGCAGGCTATGCAATCAGACTTTTTAAACAAAAGCTGTGTTGATAATTGTTGACCGTTTCTAAATTTCACAAAAGGTTTTAATAATTACCTCTTTAAATTCCACTCATCATCATCATCATCATCATCATAAGGCCGTCAGTCCTAAGACTGGTTGGACACGCACCTCCACTCCTGTCCTAAACTAATCTTCGCACTTCCCCAAAACTAGAACAACCCACATCCTTAACCATTTGCAAACAGTAATCCAGTATAAGTCTACTTCTACCACTCCTAACTCCTTTTCTGTCTCTAGTATTTCTATAACTAGACTTTCATGCCTAAGCAGATGTTCCAACAATCTATCTCGCCTAATTCTTATTAACTTCCATAGAATCCTCTGTTCTATTCTTTCTAATATCTCTTTATTTCTAACTTTCTCTATCCACAATTTCCTCATCATTCGCCTGTAAACCTACTAAATTACATAATGCAATACCATCCAAAAAATAAAAAATTCACCTACAGTTCACTAAATCTTCAAAACAAAATGCAAAATCATGCGAGTAAATGTATTTTTAATGAGAAACGCTCCCAATTTCTAAAAATAAGAAAATTGAAAATCGTAATTTGCTAACGCCGGGAACCAAGGAGTTTGTAAGACACCAGTCTTTACGAAGACCAAGTATCACCCTTACAAACTAAAATTGCCTCATAAACTTAGTTATGGAAGTATTCGATTTTCGAAGTGACCACACCTGCAGTCCTTTCTAATACTCTGTCATTCAACTATGGATGTTAACGATAGCAGGGGAGAAAACGAGAGTGATGTTCTATAGCATTAGATCCAGATACATTACAGACCATGAAGTAATTCAAAGTACTACACACCGAAATTATTTATACCTCCACCAGTTTTTGTGAGAATTAAACTGATTCTGCAAGCTCCTGAAACATCATCAAGTTGTGTCTTATAGAGCTTCCCACGCAAAAGACAGAATCAGGTTCACGGACACAGCAGGACCATGATAAGAATAATCAACCTCCTCTTGGAGCCAATCCAATGTATTACACCTTAGCAAATGTTGCAAACCGACCGATCAGAAAGTGATCAAGAGAATTCCGATTGATTTAACCATCGGCGACATATCTAAACAAGAGGTATATACACTAACGACTTGATGAAATCCCGTTTCATGATGATCCCTTTAGTCCTGGTCACCACCCTCAACGGAAATGAAGAAGACGTCAACCTACTCTGAACTTCAAGTCAATGTCGAAAACTACAAAAACCTGAGAAGACCAAGCCAATGACACATAAAGACCATACACGAAGTGTACACAGCTTCAGAGCACATAAGATTGCAAAAAATGAAAAGAAGAAAAGCACGTATGGAAAATTGTAACAGAGCTCATCCTGTCATTTATCGTGACTGTCCTGCATTCACGAAATGGGAACAAACCAAGAAACCACCAAAGTTCGACAGCAGACCGAAGAAATAAAGAAAGTGCTGTCTAACTGAGAGAAAACTAACTTTTTTTTTAACTTTTGGGTGTTTCATTCCCACCAGCTAGTAGTGCTGGTGGGCGGGCAGTGCCTCCGGGCTACGCCGGAAGGTAGGGCGGAAGGCCCTCTTCAGCCTGCTTTCAGGAATTGTGGGAATGGGTGGGTGGTGGTTCGGGTGAGAAAGATGAGACGGACGAAATGAAGACAGAAGAGAATGGAAAATTATCTGTGGAATATTACTGCCTCAGCATTTACCTAAGTGATCCAAGGAAACCACAGAAAAACTTGGACTAAGGCAGACGGACCCGGAATCGAACCGGCGTCCTCCCGAATGCTAAGCCATGCCGCTCGGTCATAACTGAGAGACTCTTTTGCACGCCCATTAGGATTAAAACAAATCCATCAAATTCGCCCACCAAAAGGATATACACTGAGTTTATTATTTACAAATATAGATTTTTCTGTTCTACACCCAACAGGAAGATTAATAGGAGGAGATGGGCACAATAATCCGAAATTCTTTGAATATGTAATACAATTTCCAAATTGACAACAACATACGGTTACAATAAAATTTTAACTTGAAGGACCTTCAGGATTATTTAAATTAAGTGAAGTTGCTTAATAATTGATTCAATGGTAATGATACAAATGTTAACTATAAACTATTTTGTAAACTGTGTTACTGTGTACAAACCTATTAATAAATTCATGTTAAAGACTCCACACTACAATATTAATTTTCCTAGATGGAGAACAAACAAAATAGCTCAAACCCCAACGTCAAAACATGACCCTTTAGTTGTCTGAAGCACTTTTCGGTAACAAGGTTACCTTCTTCAGGTACTGAAGTGAACTGATTTACTAGATGGTTTAATAGTTAACTCAAGCAATATGTTTCGATTTGATAAGAAGAGTTTTATTGTACCCAAAAGTTAAAAACAAATCAAATATATTGTAATGTTCGTGGGCTTAACAAATTAACTTTTAAGACTCACAACGACAAAAACTAGGTGATAAATTACTCTATTTATTTACAGTACTGTTACTATATCACTATTCACTGCGCTGTCAATTTATTTCTAGATTCACTTCTACAACGGTCTATTTATTTCTACTCCTTCTCGGCGATCGTCTCTTCCTTTATATACTCTTTTGTGTCCTTTCTGGAACTTTCTCCAGCAGTCCGGAAAAGTTTCGTTTTCTTTGAACTGTTTAATTGCTTTCCCGGAACGCAGATACGACACACACGTTTACAGATACGGCGCACATGAAGAAAGGCGCCCGCGGCTAGTCGGCGAATCGATAAGCCGCTCACACACACGTATGCCCGATCGCACACAAACACGCTCGTGCTCGCTACAGTATGATAAGTATGTGTAAATCTAAGAGTAGGAAGTAGGTCAAGATGTTATTCTAATTTATCAAGTCCACCAAGGAGTAATAGTTATTGCTTCCGTAAAATCTTAAAGTTTACTTGAAAGTGTATCTAGTTCTAAAAATTCATATTATTGTGCATACTAGAACACCTCCATTGGTGACGATAATGAGCACCAATAATACATTATCATCCATAATTAATACAATGTCTATAAATATTGTTTTGAAAACATTTCCATTATTTTGTAGTTTATATCTATCGTAAGATTTATAATATACCTCGTTCCCTTGAACCCTTGAACCCTTTCGCCAGCTAAGCCGGCTTACGTAAAGTCGAACACTCCCTTTGATGACTATCATTTGTCTATCAAATATATTATATTTTACTTAAATTCACAATCATCGTTGTTATAGCTAATGGTTTAAAGACCTGTATATTTGATTAAATGAATAATTAATTTTTTCACATACATATTAAAATTTTCGAATGGATTCATTATGAAAACTCCAACACAATTTTTCATCACTTTTACATTCAATACTAGCACGCATATAAATCTTACACTTTACTTTAATAAATCAAATTAATAGTCGATATGTCAGAGGACTTTTCTCGAAGTGGTTATTGAGAACAGAAAGTTAATGTTTGATGTGACTGTAAGAATTAGTAATACATTTTACAGGGCTAAATAAAAGTATAGAAATTTATAAAAAATCATTATCAAGGACTAAAAATCGATGGCTACTTTGTCTTTGATCAAGGTCAAAGATCTTTTTAAACTTATCTTTATCTATATAAAATCGATAAAACATATTGTTCGCTTTGATATGTACACATGTTAGGAGTCAAAACGAATCCAAATCAGAATCATGGCATTTTTTATAATACGTTAACCTCAGTATTTGTGAAAGATAAGATTCACTGGGAGAGATAATTATCTATTACCTATGTACATTTAATGCACGTTTGTTTGTAATGTCTGATGAACGATCAAACTAAAATAAATTATGTTTCTCACCTAATAATATTTATAAAATTAAGGATTGGTGGAACTTTATTTTACTTGTGCTGTTGTGCCGTGAGACGTACGTAGCTTTGTTTCAAATTTCAAGATTCTACGTGAACCAGAAGATTCCTACAGGTTTTGATGACCATCAGTAAAGTGAATCGATAGATGGTGAACAAGTTGATCTTGTGAGGGTTCCGTTTTCATTTCATGATTTCGAGGTATCAGATCCTAAGGATGAAATTTCGAGAAGAAGAAGAACTTGGAGAAGGCGAAGAGTAACAGAGAATTATTCAGTCTATGGATACTATGGATAAGAAATGTGTTCTTATAGGCACAATCCGAGAGTGAAGAAGACATGGAAAAGACTCGCATAAAACATTTCATCTACCAATGTCACCAAAATAGTTAGAAGACTTCAGGTATAATACGTATTTGAGTGGATTAAGAGCATAATTAATTAAATGATGTAAAAAATGTATTGAAATAAAAGAAGAATACAGCGAAAAGTAATTAAGTAATAATAAGACTGATTTTTTTTAAAAAAATTATTCCATTCAACATTGTCTCCTTCAAAATAACTTCCATTAGAAGCCACCAGCGCGGAGGAGACGGTTCTTCCATTCTTCATAACAGTGCTCGAACTCGGATACTGGAATAGCCTTCAGTTGGTTGGTTAGAGCCATTTAAATGTACTTGAATGTCTTTAAATGATATCCCTTAAGGTGAGTTTTCAATTTCGGGAAGAGGGAAAAGTCACAAGGGTCAAGTGCGGCGAATATGGAAACAGAGGATCAAGAGGAATGATTTTACTGTCCAAAAATTCATTTATCGTAAATCCTGTATGACATGACGCATTACGTGATTCAACACCCCGTTGTTTTTGATATTTGGTCTCATATGCATAACACCGTTTGCGAAGTCTTTCAAGAACCTCTCGACAAAAGTGTTGATTGATGGTTTGGTCTTGAGGAACAAACTGTTTGTGGATGATTCCCTGACTATCCAAGAAGCAAATTACCATAATTTTGATTTGTGACTTGCTCATTCTTGTGTTCTTGGACTTTGGAGATCCTGGTGAGCCACTCCACACTTTGGCACTTAGTTTTCAGATCGTACTCAAATACAACTCTCGTCATCCATAACGTTCCAAAAATGGGGATCATTTTCCAATCGATTCTAATATGTCAAGGCCTGACATCTTTTGGTTCTTGCAAAAGATTTTTTTTGAACCATTACTCAGTAGATGTTTCTCATCATTCGTTGGTTAAAATTTGTTGAACTATAATGTGACTCAAATTCAACTGCTCCGGTCATTCCAACAAGATCCTGGATTTTGTTGACATATTCGTCGGTTCTTGAAACTGAAGGCCTACCACTACGTGGTTCATCTTCCATCTCTGAACATGCCTTAAACGAACGAAAAATCTGAGCTCTTGACAAAACACTATCTCCGCAAGCCTGCTAAAGTTTAGTAAAAATTTCCGTTGCACTATGCCCAAGTCTGACGTTAAACAAAGCGTGACAGAACACCGTTGCTCGAAATTCAAATTCAATCACTTTTAAAACGTATTTGCAAAATATGTTTCGCAAAATCAATAGCTAGTAACATACAAACAAATGAATTCAGCAAATTCAAACTTGTACTGAAAACGTATCACATGTTCATGTTTCCTTCCAAATCTTGGGTTTTCTGTGTTGTCAGATCGATCACTTTGTTGTCAGTCTCATTACTTAGTTTACACACCTCGTATGTATATATTTTTGTTTGTTCAACGAGTTCGATGAAACTATTGGGTACTAACTAACATATTTACAAAACCACATTAATTGGCGCTTTGTTTTAACGTATTGGATTACAAACAAAAGCCAACAATGATATTTTACGTCTTTTTACAAAGTTCACTGACAAATCATCATGACCGTTAACCTTTACCATTATTTTTTCTATCTGATCTCAGGCAGGTAAATCTTAAAATACTCGCTTTTACTATTTACATAGAAAAGTAATTAATTTTATTAATGTCATTATTTATACCCGCGTTTTGAAAGTTGTCGGTATTATTTATTATAGATCTTTATGTGTATATTTGTGTGGGATATTCGCTTTTCACCTCAGAAAACCACACAAATAGAAATAATACATAAATAAGTCACTTTTTAAAACAGCGGGTAACATAAATTGTAATACTTATTATTGGCAAATAATATTAAATACCTCAATGATCCAATACTCACATAAACAAACTTATAAATCGTGTCTAAAACATACGTCAAACAATAAGAAAACTATTGCCTATCTATAGGTATCTTAACAATTACAGAAAGAAACAAAACAATTTTCCCCATTAAAACTTAAACTAAAAAAAGAATTACAATGTCAATTTCGATGAGCGAATGAGAGTGATTAATTTTACAACAGCCTATGTCCACCCTGTAGGTGGTTTGTAATTTAGGAATGAAGCTTTCAATAAATTGGTAAAGTCGCGGCCAGTAGGTGAACTGATGCTGCCCTGATTCGGTTCGAGTGGGCCATCTATTTTCTGCGTTTTCTTCTTCAAACACCCCTGTCTCCTCCCTACATTCAACCCTTTTCCCAGTTCAACCCTCTTTTCCACTTCCTACCTTTCCATTTCTTCCCCGAGGATGTATAACCTTGGGGTTGATTTCCCACTCGAGGAGGGGTTTTAGTCAGTAAAAATTCGACACTACCTCCCTTCTGTAGGTGTCTTTTAAAGATTTCCCCTCCTCAAGAATAATCTAAACAAAACAAAAGGAGTTGCTTTCTAACGTTTCGCTAGCAGGTCTCAGCTCCAACTGACGACTGTCCTTTGACCCGAATCAGGGCGGAGTTGCTTCCTAACGTTTGGCTAGCAGGACTTAGCTCCAACTGACGACTGCTTTTTGACCGGAATGAGGACTTCATCACTGACTATGGATTTGACAAAGTTAATGATATATGTATACTGTTCGTGAGAGAGTTTTCTATATTGTTACACATCCTCTTTATCATTAAATTTGATATTTTGTTTGTGGTAATTTCGAATGTACTTCTAGAATTTTTATAAACCTGTTGGTACCTATACAAGGGTGGGAGGGAGGTGTCACTCGAAATATTCTTTTCAAATGAAATACTGTATATACTCATATACATATTTTAAATTTCTTCTTTTTTCTCTTCTTCATAGTGTACGTATAGACAAATATTAAATAATAAAGTTATAAAAAAATAGATGTTAAATTATATGTATCTATTATGACTTTTTTCATGTGGAAATAATACCCAAGCCTTGAAGAAGTATCAAAAAAGGTTTTACCTTTATATCAGTTTTATGACTTATGTCTAGGAAATTTCATTCATTCTTACGCACTTCTCGTCGAATCACAACAATTTTTTTCGATGTGCAGTAGAATTTTAATTTTCGTTTCTTTTTATAACACTATGGCTGAAGCGTTCTTTTTCGCAGCACTTAAATTGTGTGTATGAATCTTTGTTTTGTTCTATTAATTTCAATTTCGCAGTTTGTAGGCATTTGTAGGGAAGATGTCTACAGTAATCCCTTACAGATACGGAATGGATCATAGCTTTCCTTCCAAGAATATCCCATGTCGGTTTTACAAATCCCTCTCAATGCACAATAAAAACCATAAAACACGTAACTGTTTAATGAACTATTTTAATTGTCAAAAAATTTCATTCAAATGTCTTCCCTATTACTATTTTCACGTACGAAAATCAAGTAAGATTTACTTTATTTTTTATAATTTTCTCCTTATCTCATCATCTCCTAATATCAAAAAAGAAGAAGAAAATTAAAATGTCTTCAGATATACAGGGATTACATTAAAATATATATATATCGAAAACCCCCTGTATACTAACAAGTTTATGAAAATTGTAGTATCTAGCACATTTGAAATCAACACAAGAAAACATATATTAGGTAAACCGTTATTTTAAATTTTCAAAGTATGTATCACTACAGTTATATGTAAATTTTAGAAAATTTAAAATTGGATTGTCCATATGTTTTTGTCTAAAACTTTATAATTTACCTTTTAAGTTATACAGAGTGTACATTAACAAATACGCGATAATCAAAAGAAAATTTTTTCATCATCATCATAAGGCCGTCAGTCCTAAAACTGCTTGGACACTTACCTCCACTCTTTCCTATCCTGACCTAAACTTCGCATATCCCTAAAAGTAGAACAGTCCACATCCTTAACTTAACTTTTCGAACAGTAATCTAACTTTGTCTCTAATATGACTCTGACTAAATTATTATAAATGATAGAAATACAAGTTTACATCTTTTTATTTTCCAATTTCTATTTTATCATAGACCTATCGTCTTATATAATTTGGTTTAATACGATATATTATGAATTACAGGAAAAATAAATAATTGCGAAATTTATTTTAATACAAAAGCTGTTATATTGCACAGCAATAAATAATTACATTTATTACAATAAATACATATAAAACATTACTAAGTATGTATGTAATTAAGTCATGGATAAAAAACATGATAAACGTGAAATCTACCTATGTAGGTACACATTAAATAACATAATTATTAATTTATTGTAATGATTATACTAATCATTAGTGCGTATTACAAACATTGAGTATATTACTCAGAAGGCCATGTAAACAGGTGCGTACCTACTTTACAATATAAGTGATGATGTTACATATCAACATATGCATATAACAGGTCTCACGACGACGAAAATTTAAATCCATTTGAATTTAACGAAAAGAGATATCCACCTTCATTTACAGATGCAAAAACTGTTCCTGGTTTGATAAAGAAATGATCATTATGCCTACCAACGGTTGGTGTATTTGTCGTTGTAACTGAATCTGATTTTAACGTTTTGTATGAAGGACTTGAACGTTCTCCTAAGTTGTCAGCTTTTTCATACTGATGATGGAAATGGTTATGTCCAAACAGAGGTCTTTTAGTACGAATAGGTTTATGCTTAAATGGTCGACCACTAGTGACCGATAACTCGTGAATCGGGACTTCACTGGGACGTACTGGAACTGGAGATTCTATCGGTCGAAAAGTTGAAGAAGATGGGGTTGAGCTTGTACTCGCAGTAGCAGGAGATGTTTCGATTGTTTCAGCATCTGTTGACGTTCTTTCTGTTGTTGTTGCTGTTGAACCTGAAGAAATAGAAGTTGAAGTAGTAGAATTAGGGGTAGTGGAACTTGGGATGATAGACGTTGCAGCAGAAGAACTTATGGAAGCAATGCTAGATGAATGGGTGCTTGCTATAGAAGAAAATTGTGATACAGGTTGTGTTGATGACGTGAATTTTGAAGTAAATTTATGTTTTATTTTGATAGGTCTATGATGATGTTTTAGCGATTCTGTTGTTAAAAATTTTGCCGATGGAATACCTTGTGATATTTGTTGTTGAAAAGGGATTGAGTCTATTCTACTCTCGTCCCCAAAAGAATCGTAGAAATCTGGCTGAAAATTTTGTTTAGTATCCAAGAATAAAGAAGATGAATGTGGAAAAGTAGTTGGAAATATAGCTCTTGTACGACCAGTTCTTATGGTGGGATAAAAAGAAATTTGTGGAGATTCTGTTTCCGATCGATACCATTGGTTATTTAGTCTGCTTCGTCCTCTGTAGACAGGTCTGAAGGTCGTTGGAAAGTTTCGCGGATTGCTAAATCGTCGATTTTGATAATTCGTTCCAAAAGTGTTCTGCAAGCTATAACTGTTGCTGGTAGTTGAATATCCTCTTGGCTTAGCATACACCTGTTTACCTTGACTTTTTACTTCATTTTCTGAAGTTTCAATAAATTCATTGAATGCATTTGGTGGGGAGATGGTTGTTATTAACGGCGGATCAAACATTAATTTCTGATGAGCATAATTGGCGATTTTCAAAAATTGTAAATGGGGATGATAAGGATACTGCGGGGGCTGACGGAAAGGTGCTTTCCGGAATCCTTCGAATGATTTAACTTCTTCCGGTTCGTACTGTATAAAGTTATCTTCATCGAAACAACCGACAATGTACAGAGGCAATCTGGTGGAGTTTTTACAAAATGATGCATAAGCCGACCAAGCGTTATAACCATCTCCAGTGATCTTCATATGCTCATCATAAATTTTCTTAGCACATTCTACATCGTCGGTGATGTCGTCATCTTGAAAAGCTGAACAAGGAAGACCACATTCGTATAAACCTTTACCTGTTGCGGAACACCAGTAAATTTCACTTATTTGAAAAATTCCGTGATCACCGCTTCCTGCGTTTTTGGCGGAAGTGTCGAACTGAGACTCGTGTTGAGCAATGCAAATCCACATGGGTAAATCGTTCATGGAAATTCCGTGAACATTTCTGAGCTCTTGAGCTAATTCGCACCTACGAAACACTTTTGATAGAACCAAATGGGGAAAGATAATGGAGAATGCACTGAAAGCGCGAATTACTGTACCAAGAGGAATAGCCATGACTGGTGTGTTGAGACAAGGTTGCGGGTTTTTAAGTACTAGTGACCCGCTCATATGTAAACGGTTGAGGACCGTCAGGTAGCGCACGTTAGAAATTAGCGAATTAATAATCTCTGCTATGCAAATGAAGATGTTCTGTGTTTACGCGTGTTCATAAGATACATATAGTTATCGATAATGTGTGCTGTAGAGAAATGACTTTAATCTCGATATATGGTAGATGTGTGAAACGCCTCGAGACAGACGGCTTCTAATTTACCTGTTTAAATGTCAAAAGCCAATAAATCTTCGATAGCATGAAAGAAAATAAAGTCAAATATCAATAAAAGTTCTAGTCACTAATACACTTTCGTAATTCTTCCCCTAATATACATATTAATAGGAGTAAATCAAGCAAAATAATATAAATAAAAGCATATTCCTTAAATTGAACTGAATAAATTAAAGTTAAATACAAAATTAACTTCAGTTTTTATTTCAATTTATAAATAGTAGGTATACTGAATTGTAGTTACAATTAAGAAATACAATAGATATACGCATTTAACAAATTTAAATAGATTTTAGTTTAAACCCATTAGAGTTTAGAGAGTATATATAATCACTGTCCTTAACCTGAGAATAAGAAACCAGGGGTTGAAATACAGGACTTTTTAACTGCTGTGCCTCTGTCGCACTTCTACTTGGTACATCGTCGATTTTCAAAGATTTTATGATTTCTTCAGATTGTTTTCCGGTTAATTCATTCTTAGATTTCGAATGAAAAGGTTTTTTCGTAGTGTGATGGTGAAGGTGGTAATTGTGATGCTGGTTTAGCTGAGGTCTTCCTGAATGGTGTGAACCCAAAATCGTAGATGGACGAGAGGGTAAGCTGGTTATTGATGTAGCGGAAGTAGTAGAAATAGTACTTGATGTTGAGAAGGGACGATTAGTAGAAATCGTTGTCGGATTTTGATTTACCACCACTACTGTCGACGAAGAACTACCAGAAACAGTTGAAGTTGGAGTTTGCTGAGTTGTTACTGAAGAAGGCCTATAGGAAGTTGTTAATTCAGAAACCTGTTGAGTACTTTGAAAGGACAGTGAGTGAGTGGTTATTAGAAGGTGAAGATAAACTAACATTAGGTCTAAATATTGAAGATTCGTTGTGAATATGAACATGATGGTAATGGTGGTGATGATGGTGATGGGAATGATTGTGAGATGTTGAGTTTGTAATTGGATTGCAGGAGTAACAACCTTGAGGAACAATCACAGGGATAAAACTAGGAAAAGCATTGTTCGTAGTTGTTGAAGTCGGTCTTGGAGTTGTTGCGTACGAGTCCTCGAAATGCTTGGTGTATTTGAAGCGTATAAAAAACATTAATTTAGGAACTCTAGTTCCATTTGAAATTTTTGAAGTAACACCTTGTGTAAGATCTTCTTTTCCAAAACATCCGGCTATGTATTTGTCAACTTTAATAGGATCTGAACAATAATAACGATAAACAGACCATGCATTAAATCCATTTCCGCTTAGCCTCTGGTGTTGGCGATATGCTCTCCGTGCACAAATGACATCGTCTTCGATATCGTCGTCCTCGAAAGCAGAACAAGGAAGACCACAGGCTAGAATGTCATCACCAGAAGCGGAGCACCAATAATGTTCACTAATTTGAAAAATTCCATGGTCACCACTACCTGGATTTCGAGCGGCAGTGTCGTATCGAGATTCGTGGTAAGCAATACAAACCCAAGTAGCCAGCTGGTCTATGGGTATATCGTGAATACCGTGCAGTTCTCGTGCTAATTCACACCGTTCGAAAACTTTTGCCTCTATTGTACATACAACTATGGAAATAAGATACAAAGCACACCTGGCTTGGAAACTCATGACTGCTTGTGATCACCAATACTTTACGTCTTTATAAAGTCGCGATTTATATTGCTGACCTGTATTGACTCGCTTAAAATAGTCTCATTATTATTACTCATTCTAATGACCTAAAGGTAATAATATACAAGGTTCATTCCTTAATGTCCTGCTGTGATACCAAGCACTCGTATTTCCTAAGATAATATTTAAAATTTGAAAACTAAAAATAATAGACAATGCAATGAAGTGATACACCTGTACGTAGAAAGTAGCATGAGTACATGTAGGTGTAGATCAGTATAATCGTAAACTGAAGTAATTTAAAATTAAGCCCGTAATCCTCATTAAGCCTATAGAATGAATAAATGCGAGTTTTATATGTATCGCTTATTATAAACACATTCATAATTCATAGGGAACTAAGCTAATTTTAGCGCAATGAGTTAACCTTTTTTTGTATGTATAGTATATGGTCTTTTATAGCTATCAAAAGCAAACAAATAAACGTTTTGTAAGATTATAAATAGTTTCTAGATATATTACAGAGGCAGCGATCTTCGCCATATTCATCTACTTTCTGGATATTCAAATTTAAATAGACTGAAAAAAGTATTCAGGTGTACAATCTGCCTAAGTCCTTTTCTTTTAATTTTCTACAACTAAGTGAAGAGGATAGGGCAAGATCGAGTAGCTTTCAATTAAAAGAAGTCACTTCTATACTTGCGAAAGGTTCAGCGGCGGAAAAGAAAAGGGTAGAAGTGTTACAAGCGAACGATGAGGATACCGTGGATAGAGAAGGTTAAAAATGAAGAGGTATTAGAAAGAATAGGAGAACAGAGGACTCTTTGGAAGTCAATAAAAAATAGGTGAGAAGGGTTAGTAGGACACCTTCTCAGGTATGAAGGTCTAGAGGTATTAGAGGCAGAACCGTAAGTTAGGAGGGGTACAGGTAGACCTAGATTAAATTACTGCTCGCAAATAGATAAGGATGTGGGATGTTTTAGTTTTAAGGAAATGCAAAGATTAGCTCAGGATATGAAAGAGTGGAGGTGCGTGTCCAACCAGTCTTATAACTAACGACCTTATGATGATGAACTAATTGATGTACTTCTTCATGAGATTGTTTCATGAAATAAATAAATAACTAAAGACACTTCTGGTCTAAAAGGTTACTCAGGTTTCTTATTAAACTTCTACTATAGGTATCAACCGCCACTGGTACATCGATGTTTTTGAAAAATGATCTTGAAAATGACATAAATAATACGATTTCAAACAAACATCCTACGAATTGTTTATTGTAGATAGAGATGTAGATCACGTATCAATAAAATTACCCTTTAGCTTTCATTTTATTAAATGAAATACTTTTTTGTCCTACATGCTTACATACTTTTACTTATTTAAAAGAAATAGCAATTTTTCATATACAAAAATAACGAACGATAAAGACCTACTTTCTGAATCTATTTATCCAACTTGTTTTTAGAAGACTTAACGGGATTCTTTAATTAACTGATGGCGGTATTTTACACCGCATATTAGAAATTTACTTTTAGGTAGACAATTTAAGCATATTGTGCTGCAATTAATTATTAATATACAGAATTTAAAAATGAATTAAATGTAAGGCACCATAATAAAATAAGACAGACAAAAATACGTTTTTTTAAATTAACACTTTGTTATTTTAACATATTCCAGCATGCATTTTAAATTATATGCATGAAAGTGGATGAAGATGTTGAAATTTTCAAACGTTCTATGCAACGCTGTTGTTATTACAGATACCAAGTTTTCTAATTGAAAAAAAAAGGGAAGAGCAGGAAATTAAAGCAAATGTATAAGTAGACATAACTATTTTTATAATATAAAATGAAAGTTAACCTAAAAAATAATATTTTAATAAAGGTGCGTTCTAGTGAGGTGCTCCAAAGGCTGGAAATAAAGAATTATTAATCTTTCACAATGATGATATAAAGAAGTGAAATTTTCGAAATTAAGATAATATTTTTAATGCCAACAAAATTTGGAAATTTGTTGGTGTTGTCTTTTCCTACCGTAACCTTAAACTCCTAAGTAATCAAATGAAACAAATAAAATACCACTGACATGGATGTATGGAATCATGGAATGTCGAAATGCTTCTGTACTCACCTCACGATCAGTGTGTGAGCTAAATGCGTAAAATTAATAATAAGCGCCAATGTCGTGGAAGAATAAGAAGTCACATCTGTGTATTAAATATAACCTTATTTTTATGAACTGCAAAATTTAACATTAACATATAAGTGTTAAATGTGCAACTATTTTTAGATTTTAATATATTTAGATATAATGGATATTCACTAACTAAAGACACTATTTCAGCAAATATTCACATCTTTTCAAAAATGTTCCTTAAATGCAATGTATTGCGCTTCAAATTATCTTTCCAAAAACCTAACAGGCGTACTTATTTTGCATCAAATGAAACTCCTACAACTCCTGAAGAACTGCCAAAACATGCAAGGGTTGTAATATGTGGGAGAGGAGTAATGGGAGAATCTATAGCATATCACCTGGCAAAGTTGGGTTGGGGTAAAGATACAGTTATACTTGAACAAAGCAAGTGAGTTGTTTTTAAAAGCATTTGACCTATCAGTAAAGTCAAACTGTTACTTTTAGAGGACATACAGACAACTCTTGGAATTCATCTGGTCTTATTGGAGCATTTAAGCCGACCTTAGCTCAAGTGAAATTAGCCCAATCCAGCATTCAGTTATATAAAGATTTGGAAGCTCAGGGTCATTCAACTGGATGGAAACAATGTGGTAGCTTGAATTTAGCAAGAACTAAAGACAGAATGACTGTTTTTAGAAGAATGAGGGCACAATCAATGAAAGTTCTAATAACACATATTTTTATAATCTATCTATCATACCTATGTGTTCTCAATTATTCCTTATTATAATTAAAGATTTTAATAGATTGTGGAAAATAGAGTGTGAGCTGCTAACTCCAAAACAATGTAAAGAAAAATGCCCACTTTTAAACATCAGTGATATAGAGGGAGCACTGTGGATTCCCAATGATGGAGTTGCTGATGGTTTCAAGATTGGAAAAGTATTAATTTCAGAGGCTGTTAAAAATGGTACTTACAAAGTGTTATTATATACTTTTTCATACTATTTTATATGTTTGTAGGGGTTAAAGTAATTGAAAATTGCAAAGTTACAAAAGTTTACCAAACCAATGGTAAGGTAACAGGTGTTATGACTGAATTAGGAGAAATAAAGTGCGATTATTTCGTAAATTGTGCCGGAATATGGGCAAGAGATGTGGGACAATTAAGTGATCCGACTGTAAAGGTTCCTTTACATGCAGTTGAACATCATTATCTTCATACAAAATTAATTCCTGGGCTTGATCCCATGACACCAGGTAATACAACTTGTTTTTTAAATTGAGAAATTTGTTAATAATCACTATACCTTCGTATTTCTTTTCCTAATATTTAATTCAGAGGACTCTTTGGAAGTCAATAAAAAATAGGTGAGAAGGGTTAGTAGGACACCTTCTCAGGTATGAAGGTCTAGAGGTATTAGAGGCAGAACCGTAAGTTAGGAGGGGTACAGGTAGACCTAGATTAAATTACTGCTCGCAAATAGATAAGGATGTGGGATGTTTTAGTTTTAAGGAAATGCAAAGATTAGCTCAGGATATGAAAGAGTGGAGGTGCGTGTCCAACCAGTCTTATGACTGACGACCTTATGATGATGAACTAATCGAAGTACTTCTTCATGAGATTGTTTCATGAAATAAATAAATAACTAAAGACACTTCTGGTCTAAAAGGTTACTCAGGTTTCTTATTAAACTTCTACTATAGGTATCAACCGCCACTGGTACATCGATGTTTTTGAAAAATGATCTTGAAAATGACATAAATAATACGATTTCAAACAAACATCCTACGAATTGTTTATTGTAGATAGAGATGTAGATCACGTATCAATAAAATTACCCTTTAGCTTTCATTTTATTAAATGAAATACTTTTTTGTCCTACATGCTTACATACTTTTACTTATTTAAAAGAAATAGCAATTTTTCATATACAAAAATAACGAACGATAAAGACCTACTTTCTGAATCTATTTATCCAACTTGTTTTTAGAAGACTTAACGGGATTCTTTAATTAACTGATGGCGGTATTTTACACCGCATATTAGAAATTTACTTTTAGGTAGACAATTTAAGCATATTGTGCTGCAATTAATTATTAATATACAGAATTTAAAAATGAATTAAATGTAAGGCACCATAATAAAATAAGACAGACAAAAATACGTTTTTTTAAATTAACACTTTGTTATTNAGCAGTGGGAGGAGTAGGTCAAGCAACAGCTGAATTAATAAAAAATGGTAATACTTCTTTCGATATGTACGAAATAGAAGTGTCTAGATTTTTGGGTTTACATAATAATCGAAAATTTTTGCGAGATCGCGTAAAAGAAGTTGTTGGATTGCATTATGGTCTCATATACCCATATCATGAGTTTAAAACCGGACGTAATCTCCGGACATCTCCTGTTTATCCAAAATTTCGAGAATTTGGGGCAGTTTTTGGTCAAGTTATGGGTTATGAAAGACCCAATTGGTTCGATCCCGATATTAAAGGTAATATGTAAAAAACATTATTATCATCATTAGTATTATTAATTATTGGACACCTACAGAGGGTAATATAGATTCGATCTGCGAAATACGTTTTTTTAATTGTATTTCTTAATACTAACTATAGCATTTGTTTGTAATAAAAACAGTGTCAGAAGAAGAAGAATCTGGATGGTTTATTCCATATCGTACAGCTTATACAAATACTTTTAAGAAGCCTCCATGGTTTGACTTGGTATCATCAGAATATGAAGCTTGTCGAGAAAGAATTGGAATAAGCGATTATTCTTCGTTTACAAAAATTGATTTGTGGGTATGACATTTTATTGAATACATATATTTATGTAGTATTCTTTGTATTTGCTTTAGGTCTTTTAAAAAAAGTTATGAAGTAATCGTTATGTACATTGTTTACTTTTAGTCTAAAGGAAACGAAGTGGTAAACGCCTTACAATATGTATGTTCTAATGATGTAGATGTTCCTTTAGGAAACATAATTCATACGGGAATGCAGAACCATCATGGCGGTTACGAAAATGATTGTTCTCTTATACGTCTGTCAGATAATCAGTAAGAATAAAAAGATACACTGGAATTTCTTAAAAACTGCCAAAACGTTTATTTCAGTTACATGATGGTAGCCCCTTCCATACAGCAAACAAGGTGCAAAGTTTGGTTGCAAAAACATTTACCTTCTTCTGTAGCTGTGTCAGATGTGACTAGTATGTTTACTGCTCTTTGTATTATTGGGCCTTTTACTCGTACAATGTTATCTGAACTTACTGATACAGACCTAAGTCCCAAAAATTTTCCGTTTTTTACATATAAATTGCTAGATGTTGGATTAGCTAACGGAATAAGGACTTTAAACATAACTCATACCGGTGAATTAGGATATGTTTTATACATACCAAATGAGGTAATTTTGAAAAATAAAGTACCTGCAATTATATTTCCATCAGCGAAAATTTAATTCTTTTTAGTATGCACTTCATGTTTATTCAAGGCTGATGCAATTTGGAAAAAAATATGGTTTGAAGCATGCAGGTTACTATGCTACTAGAGCTCTGAGAATTGAAAAATTTTACGCATTTTGGGGACAGGATTTAGATACAAGAACAACTCCTTTGGAATGTGGACGCATGTGGAGAGTAAAATTTGATGTAAGCTAATTATAGCTAATTAATGTTAAAAATAATTAGTAATTTTGATGTCCTTTTTAGAAAAACGTCGATTTTATTGGAAAAGACGCTCTTTTAAAGCAGCGAGAAGAAGGGGTACAGCGTATTTATGTACAATTAATATTGGAAGACCACAATAGTGAAACCGATCTGTGGCCGTGGGGTGGAGAACCCTTTTACAGAAATGGAAAATGTGTTGGAATATGTACTACATCTGGTTATGGATTTACTTTTCAAAAACAGGTATTTTTCATGACACTATTTTTATGCTTGTTTTTAAAGGAAACAAACATAAGTTTTACCAAATTTGTGGTTTGTTACAGGTTTGTTTAGGATTCATTCAAAACATTGATGATGATGGTGTGCCCCAAAAAGTTACCAATGAATACGTCCTGTCAGGAGATTACGAAGTCGATATTGCAGGAATTAGGTAAAGCAATTAAAAACAATTAAATAATGAAGATATAACATTCTAGTAACAATAAATAATCTTGGATAGTTCCACAACAATAACAAAGTTGTGAAACTATCCAAGACTTTGTATCATTTATTTATTAAAAACAATAACTAAGAATGTAGTACTTAACGGAAGGCTAAAATATTTTGCTTGTCACCTTTTATATTTCAGTTTCTGATTTTTTAATTGAGATAATCGCCATCAGGTGTCTAACTCTTCGTTATTCTTTTTATAAATCATTACAAAATAAAGAGGTAAACTTTTCTAATCTAAAAAGCAGGCGTCATTATTTTTATTCTGTCATCTATAAAGTTATCATGTGTCACATTCGAATTTAAATCGTTAGTAAAAAAATCACAATGTTAGCGAATACAGCCGTTTATCGCGTAATTATGAACGCGCTCGAACGACTTGAAAAAGTCACTAATAAGGTCAATAAATCCGACGGCTCTTTAAACGACGTCAAGAAAAGGATAAGAACTCTTAAGGAGAAAAACGAAAAATATCTTGAGGAAATACTCCAGCAGGCAGAAGAAGGCAAGAACATGATAAACATATACAAGAAACAAATAAACAACCTTAAAAATAAATTATCCAAAGAAACTAAAAAAGTTGAAGAAGTTACCGTTCAACTAAAAGCCCTTGTAACGAAGTTGAACAAATTAACTGAAGAAAATCAAGAACTTTTAATACAACGCGATAAACTTTTTAAAGAAAACAAATATCTAAAGAAAAAACGATCACGCAAAAAAATAGATTTTGGCGAAGGTGACCAAAGCTCATTAAATAAATTGAATTCAGTCAGTGCAGGTGACGAATTGAAAAAGAAGGAAATGAAAGAATGTGGAACTTTGTACGAAAATGATACATTTAGTAAAACTAATACAGTTTCTTCCTGTTTCTGTTATCCAAATGAAATTCACAGTAAGTTTTCAAGTGAGGGTGTTGGTAAAAAAAAGAAGTCGCTTAAGAATAAGGAAAATAATATTTCCTCTAAAAAGTATAAAAAAAGAAAAGTAGCCGTGACAAATAATAATGAATCCCTTGGGATTAGTGAAGATACTAAATCAATATTGGAGAAGAAAACTCCGTCGTTTATGGGAGAAGAAGTACTTAACGAAATACAGGACCGATTGAGGAAAAGTAAACATCTTCTTAAATTAGCGAACAGTTTTAATGACGAACCTTCACTGAAGACAAGTATAAAACGTTTAAGGAATTCTCATCCAATAATAGAAGAAAATGAAAGAATGGAGAAAGGACACTCTGAAATATCTGATGAATTTCAAACTGATAGAAATGGTAATCCTTTACCTTTGAGTGTTATAAATGGGGGAAATATAGACTTAATTGAAAAGGGGAAAACAGTTTTAAATCTTATTGAAAAAGAGAAAAAAGAAATAAAAAGAATTAGAAAAACTGGTAGCAAATATTTGCATAGAGATGGTGATGTGTCTTCAAGTCAAGACAAACATTTTAATAAAAACGCGTTTGATGAGAAGAAATGTAACAAAAAAAGCATGGAAATTTATCAGTTGAACAAAAATGAATTTTACGAGGTTAGGACTGGCAAAATTCATAAATTTATGTTGGAAGAAACTGACACTTCAAGTGAAATTAATGAGGAGAGCGATAATGTTAAAATTAAGAATGAGATAAAGTGTGAAAAAACGAAAGAAGAACAAGGAGATAATACACATCAAGTATGTGACAACAAAAATAAAAACAATGATGGTGATGTCGACACTAAGAAAGAAATATTTGAAGAAAGTGAACTAAATAATGACAAATCTGTTGAAGCACAAAAACTATCTGAAACAAGTAGCGAATCAGAAGAAACAAAATCTCTTGTACAAACGCACATTCGACAGATTAAAATTACAAGAAGGTATTCACAAGATAGCAATAAAATGCAAGAAGTTGTAAAAACTAATGGAAAAAATCTATATGAAACAAAGACTAATAATAATGAAACTCAGGAATGCACAAATAAAATAAAAAGAAAAATCAAAATCAAACATCGAGATGTTCGGAAATCTGCAGAAAAGGAAATGGATACAAATCCCAAAGAAGATAATAAAAAGTGCAAAAAAACTGATAAAAAAGCCGCAGAGGATTTTAATAATACACACAATAAAGAAAATATTTTCACTGATTTTCAGTTGGGTGTAAATACTAAAAAATCACTGTTAAATGATACCCAAGTTCAGATTGAGAAACTCATGGAACAAAATCAAAATATAAACCAACGTATGCTAGAATTAGAAGTCCTTTTTGAAATACGTGACGAGCCTCCTAGTAGTGTACAACTTCTTCCTAATTTAATAAAAAAATAATTTGAGGTATTTTTTATTACAATTTTAAAACATTAATAAAACTATGAAACTTCAAAATAATACTTTTTATCCTTAGAGCATATGTGTTCTAAGTTTATATCTGTGTGGTTGTAAAATAATGTTTTTAAATCATCATTTATCGTATTAATTAGTTATAACTGTACTCATCGTTTCAGATATAAAGCCAAGGTGAACCTACATTCACCAAAATTACCCACCAAGTTTCCAGATATCGAACGTGAAGCTTATTTTGCAACAAGAGATAAACATGAGGAACCTATTGTTGTTACCCGGAGAAAAAGTGAGAATTAGTATGTCCATTTATTAATGTGATAATTTTAATTTATAAATAATTTATGTGCTATTTAAACTGATACATATACTTTTTAAATAAATTTATTTTAAAACAACGCTTTACATATTGTACACGTATACAATGTTCTTGTGTGTTTCTATTTTGTTTCATCTGCTACTTATTTAGTGACGTACTTAATTTGCTTTTCTTGTCGATTTCTTATAGATTTACCCTTAAATTAGAAAAAGCATTGAAGTTAATCTTCTACTGTGCCTTTGTTCTTGCTGAACTTTGTTACTTGTTGACCTAGGAAGATTTTATAATTATGGTGGGAATGCAGGCTATAATATTTTTATTGATATAAACAGAGAAAAACGTTTCTCATTACTTTAACATACTAGTTATTATACCTTTTGATTTAACATTTTAGCATGTTTAATTTTTTAGTGTATTTATTATTTTTCTTTTCAGCTAAATGTAAGCCTCATGGAACGCACCCTATTTATCCATAGCATAAATTAACATTATCGTCTATCTATGATTATTTTTTGTGTCATTTTATTATTATTATATATATTTTGAAAATGATGATACTATCATAGATTAAGCTGCTAGTCGTGTGAATTTGGCGCCCGATATAAATAATCCTCTAATCTAAACTTTACTAGTAGATTGTGCATTGTTTGCGAGTTCTAAATAGGTAAGTATCGTAATTATGCGTCCATTGGTTCAGTTAAAAAAAGGAAAATTGTCTCGGATGTAAGTGGAAATTAAATGTCAATTTATTCAAAAACTACTGAAGGTATGATAACTTAATTGACGCCAATTGATTACGTATCATTTTTTCTTGAAGACTGATTTCATATGGAAAGCGGAATTTATCTTTATGTTATTTATTAGTAATAATTACATATTACATATAATACTTAATTTTTCATTGATATTACTAATACGTGAGCGCTATTAAATAATTTATTAAACTATCCTTGAAATCACAACTTCCTGATCTAAGACGTATAAATCCAGGTAAAGCAAATAGTAATTTAAAATCTTTAAGCAAACGCGGTATTCATTCTGCTCAAGGGTATACTGTGTATCTAGTATTTTTCTTTCCAGTCATTCTTTATCCATGATCTGAACGTACTTATCTATCTTCATGGCATACTTTTTTCTTATCTATGATAATAACCATAGCTATGCCATAACGTAATCTATGGCCATAACAATTTATGGTCATAGCCATAGATAATAGATCTACAAAGGGTAGCAGTGGTCATAGCATAATGATGCTGGATAGTATCTATGCTACAAGGCCATTGTTCACGTAGCATTATTCAGCACCATTAGGACGTATCTTTGACAAGTAATCTATGATCTATTACTATGATAGTTAGTATATATAATCTATGGTGTAGTCTAATTTTCTATGGTGGTAGTAATCTATATTGTCTATGGGTGATAGTAAAATAACAAAGTCAAAGGTTACGGCAGTTTGTTTTCACGTCTTGTTTTTATTAATTGCAAAAATGCATAATAAGAAAAGAAATTCTAGGAAACAAATGATTTAAAATAATAAAAGTGCTTAAAGACAAAACTCCTAAGAAAATGTCGAGACATCGCAATGTGAGATCCATGAACTACTCAGAAGGTACCTACAGATGTTTTGTTCAATATTGAATAGAAGATTTTATTTTATTTATATTTAAGAGTACGATGGATATGATGATGTTTACGGACATTCTGTGGAAGATGACTACTGTGTTTCTCCTAGTGAAGCTGCTTTTATGTATGATAGAGAAGGATCAAAAAATAAACAAAAAATAGGAGCATTTTTTCAAACAGTGTCAAATATAGCCGAGGAACACGAAGGAGAAGTTGATTCAAAAGTACTTCCTTATATATTAGTACAGTGCAAGAAATCTATAAGGCTTTTGTAGGGCTCTGGTTCTGACATCGAGGAAGCCCGTTTACAGTCTTGCATTGATCAGGTCAAAGAAACTTTAGGTTCATCATTTTCCATTAAAGAAATAGTTTTGTCTCTCAAAAAAAATAATTTCGATATTGAAAAAACCATAAATGATTTATTGATGAAAAGGGCTGATGGAGAATTAAAACAGGAAACTGACAAAAAAGGGAAAGGTGAGTTAAACATATTGAATACCCTTTGTATATCTCATTTCAATGTAAATTCCTTGTTTCATATTCAACTTCACATTGTCCTTGGAATTTGATTATGTAAGGTAAGATGTTAATGCAGTATTCAGTAAAAATTCAAAGACTTTTGTTATACCAAAGTTGAATGGAATGACTAAAACTTCCGATAGCACAAGTCAATTAAACACCACTAGTAGCAATAATACTGAGGCAACTTCTTTAACTGATTTGGCTAATTTACATTTAAGTAATTATTCAGGCAGCGTGAAATTTCAAATTCCAAAATTGTTTGATAAAAGCAATAAAAGGTTTCCCTCCAATACATTAAGTTCTAAAACAATCCAAACAGATAATGCTAAAAAATTCAACAGGAATATTAATGACAATGATAAAGAAATAAGTACAAAAAAATTAGCAGATCAGGTCTCTCAAATCAGTTTATCTGAAAGACAAAATAAATCATTAAGTTCAATTGAAAACAAAATTCAAAAACTGTGTCAAGAAGGTGATAATGTTTGGAAGATTGACTTAACAAAAGCCCTAAGAAATACAATCAGTGAGCCAGTTTTTAAGTCTAAACAGACAAGAAAAGATAACAATATGGTCACTGATGATTTTGATCTTCCCTTTATTGATTGTGAAGTAACTTCAGCTGAAAAAGAGGAAATAAGTTTTCCTTGCACACTAGATATCAGTTATGTGTTATCATTACCGTGTAATTTGCTCAAAAAACCCTCCACTTTCGGAAGAGTGTTATACAGAAAATACCGGAAAAGAAAAATGCATGTACTAAGTAAAAAAGAAAATATAAAGACGACGATTCCGTTTTTTAAATTTGACACTTTGTCTCCTGATGATATAGTGAACAAACATCTTAAAAGAAAGTGATAAGTACTGTTTGTAAATTTTGTAACAACAGAAAGTACAAATTTTTTTAGAATAAACGGGGTTGATATATTTTTAGAGCATATTTGATATAAATACATAGATATTTACTTATGATTTTAAAAGTAAAAGCAGCTATTAATTTTAGTGTTTTATGTTAGTTACATATCAAACATTTTTATGTGCTTTATTAAAAATGTTGTGGTTGAGGGTATTTCATCTGTTAATTCAAATCCATTTCGTATAGTTATCAACTTTCATTAAGTGTGTTGGTTTGATTAATTTCATTCTTACAGTCTTAAGTAACATTTTATTAATAAATTAGTAAGTGTACAAAAGTATATAAAATAAAGCGATATGATAATCGTATTTTATTATTTTAAGATGCAGCGTATTCGTTGTTTTATGAAACGGTCAGCCGTTTGTATAATTGTATTTGTTTTTGAGATAACTTTTATACTAAATCTAACCGAAAGTGATACAAATACATAACTCTTTAGATTCCCTTGCTAAAAAGATTTACTCAGGATGTATTATAGTTAAAACCATTCTGAAACTGTTTATGTCAGAATTAGTTTTATTAAGTCTTTTTAAGCCATTACAACTCCTCATCCGCAAAAGGCCCAGGTGGTTAGTTCGAATCAAACAACTGTTAACGTAACAAAAGGATTCGATCTTGCTCAGAAGGATATTAGTCGACTATGTCCTACGCCGCGTTCCGAATCACCTGGATCAGGACGCGTTACGCCCATAAACGTTCAGTCCAATGAAAATGAGGAAAAACCTAAGCATAAATCTTATGGCAAAGACGACGTTTTAAATAATTATAAAAAGGACAGAAGCGGCGAGAAAGAACATTTGTATATGATTGTTATTGGTCATGTAGATGCTGGGAAGTCTACGCTTATGGGACATTTACTTTGTGCCCTGGGCCAGGTTAGATGTTTAAAATAAAAAAAGAAATATAAGAATTAAATAGCTATTTTCTGCAGGTGAATCAGAAAACTATGCATAAATATGAGCAGGAAAGTAGAAAATTAGGTAAACAGAGCTTTGTATATGCGTGGGTACTAGATGAAACAGGAGAAGAGCGAAACAGAGGCATCACAATGGATGTGGGGAAGTCACAGTTTGAAACGAATAGTAAAATTGTAAGTGAATAATTGAAAAGCAGCAAATAAAAGAAAGTGCAAAGGTTGATGTAATTTAGTGTATTTGTCATAGGTGACGTTGCTGGATGCTCCGGGACACAAAGATTTCATACCGAACATGATAGCAGGAGCGGGTCAAGCAGACGTTGCTGTATTGGTAGTTGATGCAACAAGGGGTGAATTCGAAACAGGTTTCGACTATGGTGGTCAGACGCGGGAACATGCTCTTCTGGTGCGTTCACTGGGAGTGAGTCAACTGGCCGTCGCAATTAATAAATTAGATACAGTAAACTGGTCCAAGGAACGATTTGACGAAATTATTCAGAAATTGAAGGTGTTTCTAAAACAAGCCGGATTTAAAGATAATGACGTTGCATTTGTACCGTGCAGCGGCCTTACTGGTCAAAATTTAGTCGTTAAACCTACCCAAAAGGAACTTATCGAATGGTACCAAGGACCCACTTTAATTGAGGTCATTGGTAAGTTCATAAAATACATTTAAGTATCAAAAATGCGGTTTTACAGTTTTCCTATTTTATTTATTTATAATAAACATTTTTTAAATAGATAACTTCAGAGTTTCTGAACGCCCAATTCTTAAACCCCTTAGGTTTTCCGTAAATGATGTTTTTAAGGTAAGTTAGGTATTTTTTTTGTAATGAAAAATTATGTAGATATCTTAAATTTGTCAATGTTTTGTAATGCGTTTAACTTTTTAATTAAGAATATCAAGCACTGTCAGGAATTTATCTACTTGACAAACTTTATTCTCCAGGGTACAGGTTCTGGTTTCTGCGTTTCTGGAAAAGTTGAAACAGGAAGTTTGTCAGTCGGTGATAAAGTGCTTATTTGTCCGAGCAGAGAAGTTGCTTCGGTAAAAGGTCTGTTAACTGACGATTCTCCGAAACAGGTCGTTTATGCAGGTGACCAAGCGCAGGTAACTCTTTCTGGTATAGAAATGCAAAATGTGTCAGTAGGGAACATAATTTGCGACCCGCAAAACCCTGTACATGTCACTACGAAATTTCAAGCGAGGGTAGTTATTTTTAACATCGCAGTACCCATTACTAAAGGATATTCCGTAAGTACATAAAACATATGGACATTTAATGAATGTACTTTTTGTTTGTTTTATGCAGGTCGTTTTACATCATCAGAGTTTGGTTGAACCAGTAATTGTCAGTAAATTGATTGCGCAATTAAATAAAAGTACAGGCGAAGTTATTAAGAAGCACCCAAGGTGTCTCACGAAAAATACGAGCGCTCTAATTGAAATACAAGTATCCAGACCTATCGGTGTCGAACTATATAGTGATTGCAAAGAACTTGGTAGAATTATGTTAAGAGTTGGTGGTGCTACTATCGCTGCTGGACTTATAACGAAAATTTTATAATTGTTTCTTGCATTTCCCTGATGTTCTTTTCCATTTAATTAACTGGCCAGATTAAATACACTTTTGTTGCCTTTTTTACGCCTATTGTACGAAATAAGGCTGAATTTTATTGCAGTTGTCTGTTAGGGAATTATTTCCTTCTTTAACATTGTGCTATTTAAACAATATTATTATACAAAAAATGTTTGATTATTTTAAATATTAATTGTATTCAATATTAAGCAGCACCTATTTTAATTAATGTTGTACTATTATAATTGNAATAAAATTTTTGACCTTTAAAAAGCCTCAATCTAAATTTAAATGATAAAATTAAAAATTCTTAAGCTCATTGGAAGGAAAAGTAACCTTTTTTACTAATTTGTATTTAACAATTCTGCTTCTTATTGTTTTTATATTAACATATTAGTATAATATTGCTAGGTGTCACTTCGGTTAACTGTCGTTTTCTTAAAAATAAATGTATTAATGTTAGTCTGTCTTTGCACATACGCGTTCTGCGTTCTGAATGAAATATGTCACAAATACACTTAATGCTGTTGGAAGGCTGTTCTGCGACCCATGCTCTAGTCATTTAGTGCAAAGCCAGAGGGTAGGGTGGAAGGCCCCTTTTCAACCTCTTTTTAGGAATAGGTAGGTGGTGGGGGAAAGATAAACGAGACGGACGAAATAGACAAAAGAAAAGTGAAAGATTATGTTTAGAATATTACTGTATGAGATTTAACTAACTGATTCAAGGAAACCACAGACGAACCAAATCGAATCGAAGTTATAATTTGTATTACTAAAACAACATACACAATACTAAGTTTGTCACGTAATAGTTTTACATAGAAAATAAATTTTCAAGATTACTGGCCGAGAGGAAGTACTTTTTTTGTTGGATTTGATGATTATGAGTCAGAATGACCGTAAGGATTGCTTATTATTTCGGGGTAAAAAACCATAAAAATGATGTATGAAAAGACAATTTCAGCAAATATAAATAATCCATATAAATATATAGAGTCTATTTTTCCTTACTTGTACATAATTATTAAATTCCGGATATGTTTAATTCTTTATTTATTACTATTAAATTTTTTGCACTCAAAATAAGAAATTTCTTAATCATTTTGTAGAAATCAAAAACTGCGAATAAAAGAATTATATTAGGTAGGCAGTTATTATATGTTGTATACATGTAAAAAGAAAATTTAACGCATGGAAGGTAAGCAAAACATAACTGTTTGTCATTGTAGTGCTTGCACTCCTATTTGCATAAAATAATGATAAAACAATGCAGTTGCCCCTTTTAAACTTCTATACAATGTGAATATGTATATACAGAGATTAATATGAAATGTACACCTATAAAATTACATAACACAATATTGTTATTAAAAGTAATAAATATATAATGGTAACTAATTATTTACAAAATTAAAAAGTCTACGAATTACTGCTGCTATATAGATAAGCACAACTAGTAAAAATTATGGAGTAACGAGGAGGAGCAATATCTTAACGAAAAAATAAAAAAGTTACTCTTGCATTAGTTATAGCGTATTGATAAAGCAGGATTATTTTGAAAAATCATTTTTTCAGGTTCCAGTTGACATAAATTTGAACAAATGCGCATACCGGGGGTATTATGACATGACTTAGACAATCGAACACTACGTCTCACTGGGGTCACCATTATTTGCTTAACTTGTTCATTTTCTTTCCTAAGTTAATAAAAAAAAATATTTAAAATATAAACTAAGCAATTTATTATGTGGAAAAAAGAAGTTGGATGAATAAATAAGTTAGTTTAGAAAAAGTACAGAAAAGGTACATATATATGCTTACTGTTCTCGATTGAGTTTCTCTTTGATGGCAAATTGTATTACAGAAGATTTAAATGCATTTCTTGCTTGCTGAAGCACAAATGCCTTTTCACGCTTTAATTTATCGTTGTATTCCAATTCCTTAGCAGAATTACTGATATTAAGTACACTAAATTTTTTTAATAAGTCTTCTAAAGCACTGTCTACATCCTGCACCTGCAGTCATATATAAATAATACTCATTATATTATTGTTTTCACTAAATAAATAGTTACTTTTAATTCAGAAAAAAACATAAATTGAAAAAAACTTACATCGGCTCCTTTTACAACAGCTTTCTTATAACATTCAATGGCATCTGTGAGATTGCCTTTACATTGTTCTAGGGCAGCTCTACATTCCCAATATTTTGGATACTGTTCAATTTCAGGGCATTTCTCATGAATAAGGTTGAGCCAAATTATACATTGTTGTTCTGAATATCCCTTTAAAATGTTATGCATATTAAGTAAAATTCATATTTATTTTGATAAAAATAAACTTACATCATTAATTAGACTGTATAAATCGTTAAGAGCATCTCTCGAAACAATTTTGTAATCTACATTTTTTAAGAGATTTGTTTCATTTTGGGGAATTTTCTCACAGTGATCAATCCTTAGGTCATTATAACTTTCAGATCTTACAAGCACTTCCTCAATATTTTCTTTATTTTCTTCGTCTACTTCTTTTATATCTGATTGTTTTACACCAAAACATTTTAAATGATGGTAGGTATATAATGGTCGGTTACGTTTTTTAAGCCATTCATTCAGCCTTGAATACATATCTTTCTTAATTGTAGCTGGTGTTTTTAATGTGGCCATAGGAGTCGAGAAAAATACACGATTAAAACTGTTTGGAGTTTTTGAACAGCGGTTTATTTGAGATCTTTCTTCTTCTATTGGAGAAATGTAGTTATTCTTTGTATGAGACACATTTTTTGAAGGGGTTTCTAAAAATTTAGTGTCAAAATTTTCAGCAGATAATGATCTTCGTTTTGTTGTAACTTTTTGTTGGTCACTTTTTGTACTGTCTCTCCTTCTCTGTGTTTTTTGTAGAGTGTTAATCTTCTTATTTTGTCTATCATAATGCTCAGCTGAAAGTGATCTACGTTTAGGAAGTCTTTTGTTATCTGGAATACCATTTAAATTCTCTTTGAGTTCATTTGGTTTTATATAATTCAATTTGTATTTGGCTGAATTTTGAGGAACTTTATTAATTATTGTCTTGTTATTTGATTTCGTGAGTTGTGTGGATTTAGCAGGTTTTACAAATTCAATGGGTTTCTTTTTCAAGTCATCAGCCTGCTGATTGAATTTTGTAGTTGTCTTTAATAAACACCGTTTTCTTGTATCAGTATTGCATTTAGGGCTAGTTGGTTTTTTCATTAGTTTAACAGAGGCAGTAGAAGAAGGAATAGATGTTTTTTTAAAAGTATTAACACTATAGCTATTGAAGTCTTTAGCACTCTGAAGACTAAAAGATTTAGGAATTCCAATGCCTGTAAGTTCTTTCTTATTTTCTTTTTGCATATCGCTGGTAAGTAGCAGTGGATTTGCATTAACCATTCTTATCATACTTGTTTTCGTCTGTTTAATTACAGGTACATTTTTTCTCCTTTTTAATGAAGGATTTCGTTTTAAACACGATGAAGGTGCGCCTGTTGATTGTTTAGAGAAAACTGAAGATATTTGCTCTTCCATCATTTTTAACTAAATGTTTTTTGTATTTGCATACGTTTAATCGAACAAATATGTGTAAATTCTACAAATAACACCTAGAATCAGCATTAAATAGACGAATAATAAATAAAGTAGGTATTTTAAAATATCATAAAGATTATTATAAAAATTCTTGTTTTTATCTATTAATTACTATTCTGATAAACTAAAACAATAAAACTTACATAATAGAAGAAGGCGGGCGATAAACACTAATCAATTAAATTCAATTCTACTAATTACTTTAAAAATTAATTCACAAAAAGACGTTTATCGTTAATTAACGTTTTTATCGAATCACTCAATTTTAAATGCGTTCAAAATATGAACGTGACAGTTAATGTTTAACCGACAACCTACAAGTTTGCAACTGTAATACCAATCGTTACATATTAAAATACTGTGGTTTAATTTCAAATAGGATTTGATTATATGCATTGTATAATACTTATGATTTTTGATTTATGAATTACACTTGAAACTTTCACACGACTTTGTTATTAAAAATAATCAGAAAAATAAATAAAAATATTATTAAAATACTGTTACGTATGGACAGCCCACTGTACGCAAATAAGCGTCAGGGTTGCCTATAGTGGATTTACGGGATTACGTTAGTATAATAAAAAAGGCTATAATTCTCTAGAACCTACATTCTGGAATGAAATTATTCTAGAACAAGTCCAACCTCTGTAAATAGTTGTCGCGAGGTAGTAAGGAAATTTTCGCTCTTTAGTGCAAGTGTCCACCCAAGATCACATCACAAATTGGCCACCTATTGATGAACTTATGATGATGACAAGACAATTTCATCTATCAAAAATACTACAATTTTATCTTTTGCTGATATCATCGTCATCATAAGGTCATCAGTCCTAAGACTGGTTGGACACGTACCTCCACTCTTTCCTATCCTGAGCTAATTTTCGCATTTCCCTAAAACTAGAACAACCGACATTCTTAACTATTCGCGATCAGTAATTAATCTAGGTGTACCTCTTCCCCTCCTAACTCACGCTTCTGCCTCTAATATGTCCTACCAACCTATCTCGCCTATTTCTTATTGACTTCCGTAGAGTGCTCTGTTCTCCTATTCTTTCTAATACCTTTTTATTTCTAAACTTTTCTACCCACGCTATCCTCATCATTCGCCGGTAACACCACATTTTTAACACTTCTATTCCGCCGCGCCCACCATCCATGTGTGGCACCCGTACAACACCGCGTTCTGCGTTCTCTTTTTAAGTATGGTTATTACCACCTTAGAATTTCCGCTATATCCCATCTATACTTGACGCTTTATTATCTTTAAGTTTGTTATCTAGGGTTCCCTACTTTCGTTTTGTTTAAGACATCCCCCGGGGTAGTCTCCGCCCGGACATCCGAATGGGGAACCAGTTTACGTCCGGAGTGCTTTACCCTAGAGGACTTCATCATTTAGTTTCGGTGTGTTTTACTTGCGATATCATAATGTGGTGGTTTACCGGCTGAAGAGGACCCTACTTGGTCCTAGAACGGCTTGAGGTAGAGGGGTTTTAGTCGGTAGATCCCAGGACTTCTTCCTCGGGAATCCGACACTACCCAGTCGTACGGACGGCTGGGTGTCCTTTGAAGATTTCCCCTTTTCCACAAAAATATAAAAAAAAAGTATTGTGCATTAGAGTACCTACCGATCTTCGTGATCTCTGCCACCTTAAGTACTGAAAGGGCTGCTGCCCTCTTTCAGGGACTTGTCTTAGTCTGTTTCTCTTGTAGAACCCCAAAATTATGGTTGAACTTATGATCCGACTCCCTAAATCATCGAAACTTGCAAGTTAATCCACCCGCTCCAGTTTGTACAAATTTCGCCAAGGTTCGAGTCCCGTTGGATCAGAAGATTAGCAAAAATAAATTAGTTAGAGTGCGAAAGGTGACAATACATTAAAAGAAAAAATGCAATTGTCAAACATTATAATAATAATAATATAAACAAATAAATGAAAGATACTACAAAACGGAAAGTATTTAAAAAACTGTATCACAAATTATTTGATTAAATGGAGTTAAATTATTATTTAACATTAAAATGAGTTATAGGTACCTATGTATGTAAATTTTCGGTTTGATACACAGACGTTACGATTGATTGTAGTATCGTCCTTTATATCCTTTTTACACAGCAAGAACTCTGATAAGTTTCGTATTATACAAGGTGATTTAGAGGAAGAATTACAATACTCTATTTGTGTTTTGCGGTTTCCTTTATTTAAATTGTATTGAATTTATCAAGAGTACCTAAAGTGCAGTTTAAATCTGCGTGTTTTATGACAACGAAAATTAATAACCACTAAGGTGTTGGTAAGTACTTGTACGTAATAATAAGAACAGTAAAATCTGATAGTAAAGCAACAGAATAACGTAAATACAATACAAAAACTAAATGTGCAAACTTTTAAGGTTTTTCTGTTAAAGTAAACGAATAATTAAAAGTTGGTGTTATTTATGATTTTTATAACTATGCTGAATTATTAATGTGAGTAGATTTAATTGATTTTTATTATGTTCAGGCATAATTCTAAAACATTAATTGTATATCTGGAGATGGATTTAATAATAATTTACTGAATTTAAGTGCATATTTAAGGATGTCAATTTGTATATGAGTTACATTTTTAGTAACGCAAAAACGAGTTACAAAAAATTGAACATTATTTAAAGCGACTCAGTACAGAGAAATATGCATCGCATCAATACTCCAACAGAACTAAGAACTACATACTTATCTATTTTTGCCTATTATGAAAAACCACCCTGCATTCCCATTTAACATAATGCATACAGGTTGCTGCCTGTAACCTTGGAATCAGGTTGTGGTGCCATAACTAATGTTTAAAAATAGTTGTAACAGTTTTATTATTTATTAATTATTATGAGTCGGGCTGAGCATTAAATAGTAAAATAATCAGTAAATATCTAAAATAAACTAATTTATGCCTTACAATTTCCAAAAGAAAACTAAAAATTAAAAGAAGACATAAATTTGATCAGTAGAAGCTTACCTACAATTAAACAGTGTCGACAAGAAACGTTCCAGTGAATTCGGATTATGTTAATTTAAAAATAAAGTAGTGCAATTAATTAATATTTCGAATTTTTGAATCAATAATAGGTTTTTTAGATGCCTTTTTTGTCTATTATTAATCAAAGGCTTTATCATAATAAAATAAAAACACTTGGAGTTTACAAATAATTTATTAATTATATCGACACACTGTGCCTTCTTCAAGTGGTGAAGATATGAAGATATCTATAAGAAGAAATGAAGATATCTTCACCACCTGAAGAAGAAGAAGGCACAGTGTGTCGAAATAATTATAGTGGTTAATAAATTATTTGTAAACTCTAAGTGTTTTTATTTTATTATTTTAAATATGGAGTTACATTACTTGAAAGCTTCATCAAAGGCTTTATCTATTGATTAGTTTAAAGGGCAAGACGCAGGCAGGGCAGTTGTGACTGGCGAAGATTGGATGAGATATTACTCTGAGTGTGTTAGTTTCAGATACGTAGAAGTCTCAAATTTGCTCTGATTCGTTGTAACTAGGACATCTAGTAAAAATGGTAGACTGTAGCCTTTTTCCCTTCTCCATGGTGAAGTTGCTTGTTGGTTGCAGCTGACTGATGAGGCCTAAAAGGTCTTCTAATTTCTTGTTGGCATGATTCCACATGATAAATGTGTCTTTTACATATAATTTCGTGTAGTTAGTGTCCAATTGCGTCTAAGTTTTCCACATTGTATGTGGTGACAACCATCGGCGATTCCATAGGAAGGCCATCCTTCTGTGCTTGGAACTGGTTCCAACTTGAATGTATTAGTTGAACAGGCAGCAATTCAATAATTCCATCACCGCGTTGATAGGTAGAGATGTTCTTTCCTGGAGGTTGTGCTCTCCTAATAGCTCTCTTTCAATGACGTCGCTTGATTGTTGAAGACGTAACTTGGTGAATTTCGAAGCTCAGAAATTGGCCTGATGGTTTTAACTCTGTCCTTCTGATGATTTCTACGATGAGAGCAGAATCTTTTATATACGTTGGTGTTGATCTTTCCTTGAAGCGGCCCATTCAGTGGTAGTAGAAGCCTGGCTAGCTGATATGGTATATTAGTATAATATTGCTAGGTGTCATTTCGGTTAACTGTCGTTTTCTTAAAAATAAATGTATTAATGTTAGTCTGTCTTTGCACATACGCGTTCTGCGTTCTGAATGAAATATGTCACAAATACACTTAATGCTGTTGGAAGGCTGTTCTGCGACCCATGCTCTAGTCATTTAGTGCAAAGCCAGAGGGTAGGGTGGAAGGCCCCTTTTCAACCTCTTTTTAGGAATAGGTAGGTGGTGGGGGAAAGATAAACGAGACGGACGAAATAGACAAAAGAAAAGTGAAAGATTATGTTTAGAATATTACTGTATGTGAGATTTAACTAATTGATTCAAGGAAACCACAGACTAACCAAATCGAATCGAAGCTATAATTTGGATTACTAGAACAACACACAAAACTAAGTTTGTCACGTAATAGTTTTACATAGAAAATAAATTTTCAAGATTACTGGTCGAGAGGAAGTACTTTCTGTTGGATTTGATGATTATGAGTCAGAATGACCGTAAGGATTGCTTATTATTTCGGGGTAAAAAACCATAAAGGTCATGTAGATGCTGGGAAGTCTACGCTTATGGGACATTTACTTTGTGCCCTGGGCCAGGTTAGATGTTTAAAATAAAAAAAGAAATATAAGAATTAAATAGCTATTTTCTGCAGGTGAATCAGAAAACTATGCATAAATATGAGCAGGAAAGTAGAAAATTAGGTAAACAGAGCTTTGTATATGCGTGGGTACTAGATGAAACAGGAGAAGAGCGAAACAGAGGCATCACAATGGATGTGGGGAAGTCACAGTTTGAAACGAATAGTAAAATTGTAAGTGAATAATTGAAAAGCAGCAAATAAAAGAAAGTGCAAAGGTTGATGTAATTTAGTGTATTTGTCATAGGTGACGTTGCTGGATGCTCCGGGACACAAAGATTTCATACCGAACATGATAGCAGGAGCGGGTCAAGCAGACGTTGCTGTATTGGTAGTTGATGCAACAAGGGGTGAATTCGAAACAGGTTTCGACTATGGTGGTCAGACGCGGGAACATGCTCTTCTGGTGCGTTCACTGGGAGTGAGTCAACTGGCCGTCGCAATTAATAAATTAGATACAGTAAACTGGTCCAAGGAACGATTTGACGAAATTATTCAGAAATTGAAGGTGTTTCTAAAACAAGCCGGATTTAAAGATAATGACGTTGCATTTGTACCGTGCAGCGGCCTTACTGGTCAAAATTTAGTCGTTAAACCTACCCAAAAGGAACTTATCGAATGGTACCAAGGACCCACTTTAATTGAGGTCATTGGTAAGTTCATAAAATACATTTAAGTATCAAAAATGCGGTTTTACAGTTTTCCTNTGTATGCAATAAACTTAGATAGAGATTCATATGCGTTTGTATAAAGATAGCCTATTCCATCAAAAAGTATGATAGCAAACAATACGATATATATGTGTCATTCCTAAGATGTCCTGTAAATATCCCGTCCGTATGTTTTTCAAATGTCCGTTGAGTATATTTTATGAATGTATGAAACTGTGACATTCGTCTATCCATACGACATCCTGAAGACGTCCGCCGAACATGAAACGAATCTGTATAAGATATCCTTAAAATCCCAGATGGATGTTTTTATAACATCCTATGGATAAACATGTGCTGTATGGGATCATTTCTTGTTGATCTTGGATAACCCATGAAGGTGTGTTGGTTTGTTATGACGTAGAGTTAGATTTGTTTTTATCCTATTATCGAAGTGTTCTGGTGTTTCTCTAAGATGTTGTATATCTTCCTCTCAATAGTAGTTGTTGACGTATGCAACCCTTTTGCTGTATTCCATGGGATTCATAATGACGGTTCCATTGTCTGCTGGTAGGATAATAACTGATTTGTCCCTTTTGAGATTCCGCACAGCTTCTTCTTGGTTGCAATTGTTTCCTTTTTTCTAGGGTTAGTCGTTCTTTCCATTGAGACTCGTCAGCTTCTGAATGTTACAAGTGAATGACCTCAATAGCAACGATAAAGTCCATTGTAGGTATCTGTTTAGGTGTTAACCCCGCAGCCTCAATGAGACGTTTTGTTAATTAACGTGACGTTACTAGCTATATTTGTGGGTTTAACCACTACCACTACCACTAGTCCACATTCAATTGATCAAGCTGGCAAGAATTTATGTTTGGAGTCCCCGGATCTCCCGCACTACCAGTTAACACCACTAGTGAGATGCTCGGAGCAATAATACCAACTTCTCCCAGTTGAGATTTCTGGCAATTCTCGCTATTGGTTAACCAACTGGGGTACCGTGGGACCGCTCTTTCAGTGCGTGCTAACTTTTGCTTACACTATCAATTTTGTTCACTAAACTCCACTTAGCTCAGCTAGCAGGCTTTACTACTACCACTAGGAGTCTAAGTACAGTTGGTTGAACAGGCAAGAATTCCTGTCTGTGCCCCCCCCCCCAGAACCTCCCGTAGCTAACATCACTGGTGAGATGTTCGGAGTAACAATACCGACTTCTCCAAGTTGAAACTTCTTGCTGATTAACTAGCCCTAGTAAGTGGGCTCATCAATCCCAAACCGCTATTTTCGCACAATATACAACGTGGAGCGGCCCCTGCGGGTTGTTTAGGTGTTATCGCAAACTTCAATCCTTTTCGAAGAATTGTTTCCTCACAGTCGTCAACGTGCATGTAGACAAGTTGATTATCATTTATCCTCCGGTGTTGCTTTTTGGTTGATCGAATGTTTCTTTAACTTGTCTAGTTTCTTTTGATCTTTAACTTTGTGCTTGTTTTTGGTCGCCTTACACTTGGACTGGATTTTTCTGAAAATAGGCTTGTAGTCTTTTTCCATCAGTTCCTTAATTTTCTACGTTTCTATCGACAGTATGATCTTACCAAACGAACAAGCACAGTTGATGATGCTCTTATAGCTCGTACTTTATATTATAAGCAACTGTTACTCCGATCTCTAGTTTTCTTGGGAATATCATAAACATAATAACATTTTGTTCTAACTTGTTTTCAGAAAATGGAGAAGAAAACAGCTTCAACGTCACATTCCCAATCGTTTAGTTCAACCAACCAGAAAAGAAAACAATTAAAGAAGACAAAAACTCTACCAATTATAAAACAAACAAAAACTAGTATGATTCGTATGGTAAAAGCAAATCCATTACTTCTTTTACACGACAAAAGTAAGGACGAAAAAAATAAATTGACAGGCATACAAGTACCAAAATCTTTTGATTTTCAAAGAACCGAAGAATTTTTTAAGGTCACGTATGGATTATTCCAAAAAATGATGCCAATGAAAAGTACATCTTTAACCAATTTAAAAGGAAAATCAAGTAGTGTTGCGTCAATAGACAAACTTCCTGAAAATCCAAACCCAGCCAATAATAAAAAAGAAGGAAAGAATGCCAAAATGTTAAAATCAAACAAGGAAATAGTGAAATATTACAAAAGTAATAATAATAACAACACGGACAATTCGAAAAATAAACGAAACTTAAAAGAAAATGTTAATAGTAAACAAATTCAAAAAGGATCAAAACCTTTTAGAAAAGAACACAAAAATACAATTAAGAAAACCACATCTCAAGATAAATGTTTACCCATTGACAAATTTGATACCAAATTCATGCTATTTTCTGTTACCGACATTCCTTTATCTTCAGACTGCTCAAACTTCTCTCCTATCCCTAAAGATACAAACATAAAAGCACCTGATAGAGCCAGATGTGTATTCTTTTCAACTCCAATGCTTCCAAAAAGACAGTGATTTTAGTGTGGTGATAAGGGTAGTGAATCTAAATTAAAAATTAATTGGAGAGTAAGTACAGTAAGCAATAAAAGTGACTCTTGAGTAGCAGGAAGAAGAGTATTTTAATAGTTTAGATTAGGAAGCTCAGGTTATATTAGTTGTAACGTACTGATAAAGTAAAAGTCATTTTGAAAGATAGTTTTTATTGACTCCATAATTGACAAAAATTTGGAGAAATGCCTATGCCTGAGATACCGGCACATAGCTTAAGAGACTTCTAGACAAAGATAATATAACATTTCACTGTGGGTCATCATCATAGCTTGCTTACCTTTTGTTAATTGAAAAATGATTTAAAAAGTAATCAATCAATAAAACTATGGTGGTGATAAAAACAGTTAAATGGGTAAAAGATGGCGTTCGGTTGAAAACTGTTAAAAAAAATAAATGAATAAAAATACAAATTTTATTAGAAAAGACTTAAAAGCATTCTTTGCTTGTTGAAGCACAAATGCCTTTTCAGGCTTTAATTTATCGTTATTTTCTTATGTAGAATTACTAATATTAAGTATAATAATTTATTAAACAAATCTCTAATTACTCACTGTCTTTTTTCTTTTTACATTCATATGTCGATATACTTATAACAATACATTGTTTATTAATCTCTAATTAAAAAGAAGAGAATTAAGTGTAATAGTAAGAGTCTTACGTTGTCTCTTTTTACATTAGCATTAATGTGATTTCCTTTACTTACGTTGTTGCTAGATATTCCCACTATTTTTGACATTGTACAATTTCTTCATGAATAACGCTTTGTTGATTGATTCTCTTAAAAAATTACTCAAATTAATTAAAATTTATATTTATTTTAATAAAAATCAGTTCAGATCATTAATTAAACTGTACAAATCATTAAGAGTATCTTAAGAAATCGTCATGAAATATTAACCGATCTGTTTTATTTTGGGATTCTATGATCATCATTAAGTATAATCTTCGGATTTAAGATTTTAGTGTTTTCTTTGTCAATTTCTTTTACAAAACGTTTCAAATGATGTCGTCCACGTTCTTAAACCATTCATTCAGTTTTCTTAATCGAGGTTTTTCATGTATAGCCAGAGGAGTCAAATACACGATTAATAAGACTGTTTGGTATTTTTGAACAGTGATTTAAGTGGACTCTTTCTTCTTTTGGACAACTATAACTACACTGAAACGTGTCCTGACGGGGTCTGTATATATGAATTTATTGTCACAAGTTTTGATAAGTAACTATTGCCGTTTAGTTTTAACTTTTTCTTGGCCACTTTTAGAACATTCTCTACTTATTTGTGCTTTTTGTTTAGTGTTAATAGTTTTTTACACTTCAGAACCTTTTTGTTATTTACAATGCGGCTTTATAATCCCATTTTGAATTTAACAGAATTTTGAACGTTTTTACAAACTTAAGTAATTTTTATGAAACATCATTTCTGAAGAGTTATTGGGATGTCTATAGGCTTTATAATTGCCATTAATGTATTAAAATGTGTGTAAATTATATGTATTGCTTTTAAGATTAATTTATCAATAGTTGCTTACCATTTACTTACCTGGATCATATTTATTTACTTTGTAGTTTCATGAACTACTTGACTTATTTTTTGCAGCTCTTTGTACTAATTTTCAGTTGTTGTGTCGCCTATGTATAAATTGTATAATATGCTGTTAAATATAAAAAATACGTTAATGTTTTATTACTTACAAAAATATAATTATTCCATTTTAACTTTATATTTATTTAATATTTTTAATAAATTTGCAAATTCTTAAAATAAACTGCAAATATTACAAAACGGAAAAGCAGTGAAAAAGAATGTAAAAAGAAATTTAAATTATATTTCTTAAACTAATAAACTGATTCCTTAAAAATGAATAAAAATTGACTTGTGAAGACAAAATCATTAGAGATGCATTGGATAGTGATTTTGCCGGGTACAGAATAACTGGTATGTGTTAGGGTTAATGGTTCATGTTTTCGTTCTAAAAAAACAAAATTTGGGTTTTTCATTTCTACCAGCCACTAATGCTGGTGGGCGGGCAGTCACTCTGGACTACGCCGGAAGGTAGGGCGGTAGGCCCTCTTCAGCCTCCTTTCAGGAATCGTGGAAATGGGTGGGGGGTGGTTCGGGTAGGAAAGATGAGACGGGCGAAATGAAGACAGAAGAGAATGAAAGATTATCTGTGAAATATTGCTGCTCCAGCATTTGTCTAAGTGATTCAAGAAAACCACAGAAAAATTTGAACCAAGTCAGACGAACCCGGAATAGAATCGGCGCTCGCCAGAATACTAAGCAATAGTCTAAACTTTACCACCTCCTCCAAAGTCACAAATCACATCAAGTCTCGTTAAAGAAGTCGTTTAAATAACCAACTAATGAAATTTTAATTCTTGGTTGACGAATTTTCAAATAGAGGGTTGTTGAAACCGTTGTAAGGAGCCTTAACGTTTATAAACCCTAAAAGTCTGTAAACTTATCGTTAATTAAAACCTGATATACCATCAAGCGATAGAAATTGTAACAGTTCG